CAGAAGTGGTTTCTTGAGACAAGAGAATGGGGTTTTGACCATGAATCTCTTGATACAAGAGATTCTTAGTTTTACCTAATTGAAGTATATTCTGAGAGGAAGATGTGTGCCCTCAGGACCGATTTACTTGATTGGAAACCCTACCACCTCTGTCGAAAATCATGAAAAACAGAATTATCTATAGCGAAAAGTACAAATTCTTCACACAAGAGAATAGAAACTTCATCAGATTAATATTAAATGTAAGCAAGATTACTTTCCGCCAAGAGATTCTTGCCAGCGAGTCTGATCTAATATGGAAAGCATTATGATGCACGCGAAACTTCCTGCTCTTTCCGTCCAATATTTAATACTTTATGCCAAGTTCCCCTATTTCTTTGATCCAAAGTCATGAAGAATTCATTCAGTTAAAACGGCGCGAATGATGTAGTTTCTTGAGCCAAGAACTTGTGCTCTACGTGTCAGAGATTTTATCTATCAGTGTAATTGAAAAATTAGATGTTTCTGGTCCAATGTCGTGTTTGGCAAGGAGTTTCAAAGTATTGCTAATACAATTATTGAACAACTGACTGGCGTATTTTATGAGCATTTTATCTCTGATCTTCATTTTTCCAGCTGCATATTGGATTCCTAATGCTTCTTTCAATCCTTCCAGAAGCGTTCCCTCGCGGCCTCCCATTCTGCTAGTAACCAGGCTCCACGCTTCTTAGCTTCCCAAAGCTAAGCCGGCCCACCACCGCCGTGTGCTGCCCCCGTACGACGAGACTTGACTATTAATCCAGACTGGTCAACAGCTCCCATTACCTTCTTTAGCAATTCACATAAACGGACACCATTGGTGATGTCCTTAGGAAAATAATAAGCCACCGGCTATTTAATCCTTAAATCTCGACAACTAAATAGTAAATCGTGCCTTAAGGCACGATTTGCTATTTCATTCGTGCGTACACCATCTCCATAGACGACTGTCTCTATTACCTCATTGTAGATCAATTTCTCCTTCAATTTTGTTTCGTCAAATACCAATTTGACGAAACAATTTTTGTAAAATTTTGTACTACGTAGTTTCTGCGATATTGATCTCTGAAGAATGGAAATTTCGTGTGAGCATATCTTATTTGATTCAAAAAATTAATCAACAAATAATTTCTTGTTTGATTCAAACAGTTATTGCCTGCATCAACAACAAATGACGATAAAAAAATCTCAATAACTTATGAGAATGCAATTAAGTCATGTAGAAGTTTTTGTCTCGGGCTTTATATCTTAATCACCCCGATTGATGTTCAAACCATCCTCGCTACTTGTTTTTCTCCTTATCAGTTGTCGCGAATTCATTTCATGATGCTAATTCGTTGATGTAATCGGAGCTAATGACGCAACAACAATGAAATGTCGAATGCAATTCACATCGATCCGGGTGTTTATCATCCACAGTTGCCCTAATAAGTTACTTATATTAATCACCGCCTATAATAAGAGCATTACAGATAGATAAATCAATGGGAATTCGGTGAGTCAGCGGGAGCCGTCCCGATCATTCCATTCTCGCTCATTTACTAATCAGCAAATAAAAAAACGAATAATGTAGGTATTTCTCTCAATAAAAATAGTATTCATAGCCATGAATGTTATTTTCGTCATCACTGTTTATCGCTCAGAATGAACTTCATTCCTCCAAGTGAGCCCTTGGTTGAAGAAACAATAAATGTTCGTCAACCCGTAAATCTACTATTTTACGAGAATTATTAAAAAAAAGTTTAATTCGCAATGTATTTTCTATGTCATGGGGCAGTTGTCATTGGGAGTGATGACTCACGCGACTAGTAATAATTGTTCGGAAATTGCCGGCAAGATGCATCGCGCGCATGCGCCTTGACATCACGATTTCTCGACTGTCCAGGAGATTGCGTTATGTCTTCCAACCGACGCAGTACGGCTCCGTAACTCGAAGCGTTCACTTCTATCACAGGAATACGAATTTAATAATTACACGTCAATATGGCAGTGTGTAAGTTAATTTTTCAATAAATCGCTCGTTTTATATTTCACGTATTTTTTTTTCATTCATATTGAAATGAAAAATATGATCCGCTGGGGATTTTTCATTTCAATTCGAATTGCTCTGTTTGCGGACGCGGAGAAACACTTCGACGGGTAGTGCCCGTTATTTTTGGATTTCTAATTAGTGATTGTAAATAGATCTCACCAAGGGGAAAGAATATCAAAGCTCAATGGTATGGGGAATAAAGAGAAGAGGAGGGGTTGTTTCTAACGCGTTTGGATCTTCCTACGTTTCTAAATATAATTCCTGGGTGGGGTTTGACATAAGGAACCTATTACATTTTGCCGGCCGGCGATTCCTGATGCCCAACTCAATTTATCGGTCAGCAAAACCAAATTCCTTTGCTGAGACGGGAAAATATACAACGCGAGTGGGCCTTGAAATTCCAGAGAATCACGAATATTTCGTAACTGCGTGGGATTTTTCGATTGAAAAGAGCTTTTCGAATTTATTTACAAATACAGTTGCATTTTTCTATTGTAATGAATCCGGAATTCCATGGTTACATCATCGCGCATTCCATGTTCCATCGGAATTTTCAATTTTCGCAAAAGTTGCGGCTATTCTAGGATCGCGTCATCAGTTACAGGTGTCCTTGTAACACACACATTCTGTTTCGCAATGAATATTGAGTTTGCGGTCTTTCGAACAGCTTCCTGCTTGATGAATTTTTAAGATGATCGTATCATTACTAAAAATAATTCCGTGAGAAATGAGTGAGTCTTCGATTACCTGATGCAGGAATATGTTTTAATTAATTGGAGATGAGGTGGAATACAATCGGTTGATTCAACTTGAATGAGTGAATTATTAATGGACTTTCTTAGATATACGCGAAATTGAATTTTTCGTCAGTGAACTTTTGTGGAGATGTCGTTCCACTTCAGCTCGAAAAAAGCATCTAAAAAAATACCCATAAATTTTCAAAATCTCGCAAAAAATATTTAAAACATTACCCCTGAATTTTTATAATCGCACAATGTAGTGGTCTTTCAGGAATTTTTACTAAAATAAAAAACGGCAACCAAAATTTAAAAATATGATTTTTTGCAGAAGCTGATTCCTTCAGAAATGACATTGTTTCATTTTGTTTTATTATTATTAGATATTATTATTATTATTACATATTCATAAATATCTCTGAATGGAAGAACGATATTGCAACATTCTTAACGACCTTTTCATACATTTAAAGTAGTATAAACATAAATTGAATATTGAAGATTAAATTCTGAAATAAATCCTAAACGAAATTTGTTATGAATAGAAACATTTTGATTGAGTTTGTGTTCAATCGACAGTATATAGTATTATTGATACAATTAATCTAGGAGCGCAGGTATACCACAGCGCCTTATGAAGAAATGATTTTTCGAGTTTAGGAAAGAGATTATAATCTAAAAATAATCTCGAATAATCGGAGAGAATGAATAGAAATTCTATGCCTAATATAAAAATTATCGTCAGTATCAAACTTTTGTGATAAATAATATATGGATCTGCGTGCTGGAAATAGCGTGTTATATCGCAATAGCCTAGTCAAACGAGAGACTATTGTTGAAAAAAATACATGAAGAAAGAATTTGATGGATCAATTTCTTACATTTATCAAAGTTAGAGTTCCCAGGGCAAATTATCCATGATGAATAATTTGTTATTTACTTTTTTGAATTAATTTTCACTTGTTACCCTCAAAGACTCAACTGGAATTTATTTATACGATTTTAATTTGCTCCAAGAAAAAATCTCGACAAAAATTCCTCGATCCCTCCCAATTAACTCCAAGATATTTTTTATAAACTGATGTTGATGTGAAGCCAACCGTTTCATCTAATCCGGCGTCGATTCCTCCACTGCATTCCTCGAACGAGAAGTTTTTCATGCTTCTAAAGTATTATAAACACAATTTGAATTTTGAAAACTAAAATCTGAAATAAATTCTCAACGAAATTTACTATGAATAGAAATGTTCTGATTGAGTCTGTGTTCAATTGACAATCTACTATTATTGACATTAATCCATCTAGAAGTGCAAGAATGATAGTCTTATAAGAAAATTAACTTTTCAAGCTTAAGAGTGCCAAGTGAATTTGAAAAAAGATTCAAAAAAAATTTTTTCTTTCCCTCCATCATTGGAGAAATATGTATTTATCCATCCGACGAAATTTCAAACCCGCAACCGGAACTAGACATTGAGAAAATAAATGCGGAAAATCCTCTATTTCGCGTGACGAACCTCGAGAAATCATGGGATCAAATGGGTACGGCGGGTTGAAATATCTCTCTTATTCACCCCGGTACCCCATTGTTTTTTGTCGCCATCACATTGAACACATCATTCCCCATATCTTCAAATTTTTTCAAATTTTTCTTAAGTTCCTAGGAGGTTGAAACGTTCAATTTAATCAAAACTCCATAAGTGGCCATGTATAAGACTGATTTTGTTTATTTAATTTCTCGATATCCATAAGTTCTAAAATTTTAAAATTGTTACCATCTGATGTTCACCATCTGTCTAATACTATTAATTAAAAAAATTATAACTTTGTTGGTGAATGTCAATTTTCAAGGTCATCGCCAAATTCACTTGGCACCCTTAAGGAGAAGATTAAAATCTAAAAATAATCGGGAAAAATAAATAGAATTTCTATTTCCAATACGAAAATTATCGTCAGTCTCAAACTTTTGTAATAAACAATTCATGTATGTGCGTACCGGAAGCAGCATGTTATATCGAAACAGCGTAAGTCAAACCAGACTGTTTGAAAAAAAAATTGAAAAAGGAATTCGATTGATCAATTTCGTACTCTTATCAAAGTCAGAATTCACAGGAAAAATGATAATGATGAATAATTTTTTTATTTGGCCTTTATGAATTTATTTTCTCTCGTTTCCCTCAACGATTCAACTGGAGTTTATTATTAATTAAGCTAGCCGTTTCATGACGCCTCTATTCCCCCACTGAATCCATCGAATGAGAGATTTTTCACGGTTTAAATCGAACACGTTCGCGATGCAGCGGTTGCCATGCGAGGTCAATGACAGTAAACTTTGTCAGAGAGTTGCCGGCGAGTTGTCCGTTAGAACGAAAGGAAAAAGTAGTCACACCCGTCTCTATATAGGGCCACGGTGTGGGAGAAAGGCGCTCCTCGTTGTTACCAAGCAAATTAAAATACAATGCCACCATTTTTCCATGTCCTAATCACCTTAAAATCGTTCATCCAGAGCTTCTAATGCCTTGACAGCAGTGAGGAAATCTGTTCGCTTTGTTTTGATATGAAATTCCTGCCTCGATGAACACAAACAGTCGTTTAGCATTTATAGATCGTTACGATTTAATGAATAACAGTGGGCTCTTTGATACACGACAGCCATTCTTTTCAGCCATCCAGAGATTTAACGATTACGCAATAACACGAAATTGTTTCAATTACTCCTAATTTTCACATTGTTATGTTAATTGCGTTGGTGTAATGCGCTCCAGATCTTCGCTGAAGGCTAATCAATCTTTGGAATTTGGGATAATGTCAATTTACCATTGTCAAGTGGTAATTTTGCCCTCGATTTAGCTCGTTCTATTTCTGAATGCTCATGTGACGAATGTTCCATGGTGATGACAGATTCCGTGTTTTGGATGAAATATTGAAAGGAGGCAGCGATGGAAGTTTATTTCAGTAGCGAAGTGGTAAAGCGGTTTAAGTCGACTTACCTCCCATTTGAGTTTTTCAGCAATATTTCCGAATCTAAGGGAGATAGCGAAATTTTTGTTATAACCTTTTTTGTAGAGCCGATTGGGAGGTACAACAAATGTTATTACGAAAATTTCGCTATCTCCCGTAGATTCGAAAATATTCCTCAAAAACTCAACTGGGAGTTGAGTCGATTTGAGCCGTTTTACCACTTCGCTACTGATTTTCAATTATAGATTGTTTTGAATTCGTGAGATATCACAAAATGGTAAACAGTGGATTATAATCGAGGTGAAAAACGGGAAAATGCCACCGAATTATTGTAATGAGTTATGTGAAGAGAACCATGTCCACTTGTGCGTAAAGTGAAATTTTAAAATCCCACTTTCCACACATTATGATGAAAAATAGGGTTTGATACTCGAGAGAAAAGTGTTATTTGGCCCTTCGGAGAGGGCTATGCTACGCTCGCCTCCCACGAGTTAAAAAACCCGGTTACGCGTTCGTATTAAAATACACTATTTCATCACGCTGTGCGAAAAAGTAACTTTTTCCACACGTTCTGATGAAAAATATCATTCGATACTCATGGGACACTTTACCCATTTATTGGCTCGTGGGAGGTTTGTAGCACGAGCCAAAAATACTTTTCCGCACTCGTATCGAAATACACTATTTTGACACTGCTGCTACGTTCACCTCGTACCGAAAAGTGCCTTTTCTGTACTGCTTCTGACGATTTCTCGTCTGGGAATTGGTATTACATACTTCCCAAACTCGAAAACTTGAAAATCACTACAGAAAAATATTGTTCCTGGGCTGTTGCGATGGGGTTTTTTTACTCGTGTGGTTGGCCAGTCCTCGCCTACGGCTCGGAAGCCAACGCCACACGCATAAAAAACCCCATCGCAACAGGCCGGAAAAATACTATTTCGTTTACTCCTAAACGAAGTCTTTTCCCAAGGGTCAAAGGACAGTTTTCTCACACTGTCAAATTCTATTTTCCATCACAATGTGTGGAAAGTGGTATTTTAGACACCCGGAGCGTGCGCAAAATTTCACTTTACGCACAAGTGATGAAAAAATGATTTTTAATCACTTCTCCTATAACCAAATTTTTTCAATCCAATTATTATTAATCAATGTTGAAATGGTATATTTCGATATGAGTGCGTAATAGCATATTTCGAGACGAGTGCGTAAAAGTATTTTTTGATCCGGCAAGCGCTACCCTCCGAAGGGTCGAAGAACGCTTTTCCCATCAGTGTCGAACCCTATTTTCCATCACGATTACGAAAAATAATAATATTTGCAATAGTATTAAAAACATAATTACAGAATTGGATTGTTGAATTTTCAATGTCAAGTTTCTGTGTATTTCTGAATATTCTGAATATGAGTGACGACTGTTTCATATTGATGACAGTTTCCGTGTTGTGTGTAAAATACTGAAAGGAGGGAGCGATGGAATTTTATTTTCAATTGTCGATTGTTCTGGATTCGCGAGGTATCACAAAATGTTGAATAGTGCATAATAATCAAGCAAGGAAATGATAAAATCTCACAAAACAATTCGATTTTTTCACGGGTTATTGAATATGGAACCATTCTAATAAGTCATGTAAAGAAAAATTTCTAGCCTTTTTTTTCAATTTTTTTTAATTTCAAAAATTGGTTTTTGATAGCTTCTTTTGAAAGCAAATGTTTTCCACATTAGTATTATTAATAATAACGTTGGGAAAGGATAATATCTGGTCTATTATTAGAAACATGATCACAGGATGCAATTCTTTATTTTTCTATTTCATGTTTCATTCTATTTCTGAATGTTCAAGTGATGAATGTTTCATGTTGATGACAGATTCCGTATTGTGTGTAGAATATTGAAAGGAGGCAGCAATGAAAGTTTATTTTCAACTGTCGATTGTTCTCAATTCGCGAGATATCACAGAATACTAAACAGTCGGTTGTAACAACAAGCAGGGAAATTGTAAAATGTCACTAAACAAGTCAATTTTGCATGGCCTGTTGAATATGGAATTATTTTAATGAGTCATGCAAAGAAAAGAAAGTCTTTTTCACATTAAAAAATGCTTTCTTCACATTTTTCCTGCAACCAATTGGTCTCAACGTAAATGTTATCGCCAAAATAATCACAGAATTCGAATATTTCTGATTAAAATTGAAATAAACTTAAAGTTGAAATAAATGTAAACAAATCCCTTCCAAGTGCGAAACAAACACAAAATAAATTATGTGTTTCACCTCAAGGCCGAATGCCTCGATATTGACATGAGTATTATCAATAATAATATTCACTGTGAAATAATCGACAGGTGATGCAAGTAATTATTTCGTCTCAGAATTCGCCGAACAACTTCTTAATCTCAAGTTCGAGGACAATTTTTCGAATTAAAATTGTAATAAATTTAGTATTAAAGGAAATGTAAACAACACTGAGAGAAAAATCTGAAGTTCGATTTACGATAAGAAAATAGTTGAGGCATTTTGGTGAAGGATGCGATTTTTTTTTGTATGCGGCACATAACATTATAGTAACTTCACAAGCGTAATTTTTGCAAATCGAAATGCAGTTAAACTAACCAAAGTTCAAAAGTAACCACGACAAATCTATCGTGAACAGAACTATAAAATAGTTCCAATGACTACATTCCATTGTAGTAATTACTTCTCCGGCCATAGTTACCGTAACCCATGAAAAATTGTTGAGGACTTTTTGACTATAATTCGATGGTGATGGAATATAGTCAGAAGAATTATATTTTTCTCTCAGTGAAGTCCCCTCCAAATGCGAAACAAACACAAAATAAATTATGCATTTCACCTCAAGGCCGGATGACTCAATAGATTCAATAAATAAATCGATACTAATTCACCATAATACACATGTGTTTAGCATATGCTGGTATTTGAATTTGAATTTATGTTACGCTGTAGACGATGGGATGATGACACTGGTGACACTAAAATACAATCTGACATCACCTCAGTGACGTTTCGGGGCGATCCGGAGGTTAAGCGTTAAATGACCCAAGTCCTTCTATCGATTCCATGAACCGTTGCTCATGTACTTCGTGAAATGAGGAATTGCCCCCTAGGCGACGTCCAATCATTCATCCTCGAAACTTCATTTTTCGGGTCAAAATCGAGGATAGATGGGGTATCTCCATCGTCCGTTTCTACTTTGCTAACGCACTAAATGTTTGTCTTTTAAGGTCAGACGACTGTTACTACTGACAAGCATAACACGTACGATTTATCGATCTCGGCGCTAGTAGAAGTATCCAATCCTGAAGTGACCCACTTTTGACGTTTTATAGTGCAGAGGAAAACAACTTCGGAGGAGATGACTTTCTCCTTGAACTTTTACGAATTTTGCAGATTTTATGACTAGATTGGCCTTATTCCGTTTAATTGAAGTTCCGTTTAACTGAAACTAGCGAAAGATTCGACAGCAGAAGATTTGTCTTAGGTGAATCTAGGGGCGAACAAATGTTTTTAAGTTATGTACAAACTCTTTCGCACGTAGAAAATATTGATACATATGATTAGTTGACTCTCCTACACTTAAATGTTTACTAAATTGAGTTTTCCGCTGACGAATATACTGCTAGTTTCAGCTTCATCATCCCTCTATGTTTCGATGTTTTTAGCTGTAAGGACGAACACAGAGGAAGTGAAGTTTGGTTTTGAAGATCTTATTAAGGATCAGCATTTTTTAATTTAACGAGCGAGAAATTCTCAAATCAAGTGATTTTGTCATTAATTTTCAGAGACGTAAATCGTTGGAATTTTGTACATAAATGTTAGTGATTGAATACCCAAAGTTCTGAGTAACTGCTGATTTCTGTCATTTCTCAAATGATTTTTGTGATTTCTCAATCAGCATTAGAAATCATGATTTCTTTTGATTTCTTGTGATTTTCATGATTTTTTGTAGATCCTAATGATTTCTTGATTTCAAGAAATCACTTGATTTCTTGATTTCAAGAAATCACTTGATTTCTTGATTTCAAGAAATCACTTGATTTCTTGATTTCAAGAAATCACTTGATTTCTTGATTTCAAGAAATCACTTGATTTCTTGATTTCAAGAAATCACTTGATTTCTTGATTTCAAGAAATCACTTGATTTCTTGATTTCAAGAAATCACTTGATTTCTTGATTTCAAGAAATCACTTGATTTCTTGATTTCAAGAAATCACTGGAGAAATCATGATTTCGGGACCAGAGTTTGGCATCTGTGAATAATGGGAGTATTCTACATGCCGTTACAATACGTAAGGATGTCAAAAACTTCACTGCGTCACATTTCGGGATTGGATGATATCAAACGCTCCAATACCATAACAAAAATTGTAGATTTGAAACTGCAAAATCAATTTCGATTTTACACTTATCGATGATTTCTAATGATTATGGAAATCACCTGATTTTTTTATGATTCCTATTGATTTCCGGAAATCTTTAGAAGTCACTACCAAAAGTGGAAATCATTTGATTTCCAGTGATTTCGATTGATTTCTGGTGATTTCTTCCTTGATTTCCAGTCGAGTGGTCCAATGATTTCCTAAGTGACCAGTCCCTCGGGAATATTCAATGAAATACTAGTTTTCCGGTCAATTCGACAATGAAAATGATAGGAAAAATTCAGGCGACTACTGTTCTGAAATCTCAGTCTATCTCAAAATTACTTGGAAACACCCAGAGAAATGACGCATTTAAATCAGATAAAGATCTTCATCTTTAGGTTTCCTGTTCATTGAAATAAATTGGTTGGATATTAATAAATTCCTGTATTTACTTCGATGGAAATGTTTCGACCATGAGAAATAAATAATCTATTCATTCGAATAAATAGGTTATTCGAATTAAATGAACGATTCATTTCACCAAAATAAATGATTATTGATTAAAATTAACAAAGTTAATTTCAATCAAATAAACTATTTTTCTGGACGTAATATTCAATTTTCAAAATGAATTTGAAAATTTCAGCTGCGATTGCAATTTCGATAATCGTCCAACATGAAACCTTTACTTTTGTAAAATTCTCAAGAATTTCTAAAAGTTTCAACATTTTACTGTTTTCCATTATTCTTTATTAGTACAACATCCATTACGAAACTAAACTCCTCCAAGTAAATTGAATTGTCATTTCAATCAGGAAATTGCTCCTACAGTTATCTAAGAATTTCTTATCATTCATCTTGCAGCTCTTACGACTGAGGATAAATTGGAGTACAACTTCTACCCGTGTTCCAGCGGTCAAATCCAGTTTCGCGTAAGAGCCCCCAATGACGCCCATATCGCGCTCACCACCGGGCCGCATGAGAGCGAGCCGATGTATGAGGTATGCACCCCTATAGACAGTCTAGTCTTCGTACAAGATACTAGACGATTTTCATTTGTTATAATTATTTGATAGGATGATAGGATGATTCATTTATTCCAAACGAGATTCGTTAACTATTCACGAATGGTAGAGTTGAATATGACCAAATACATATTCGTTAATAGTTAACGAATGGTTCAAAGGTGAAAGTCGAGTCAAACAAGATTCTTCAAATATGCATTTGTTTCTAATATAATTTCAAATATGCAACTGTTAACGAATGAACATTTGGTGAGACCGAATAGACCCTAGTCTCCAACCAAATCCATTTATTAACAATAACTAATCCTTTCTATCAGTGCACGAATGTTTGATTAGAAGGTATTGTTCCTTTTCAAAATAACAATTTAGAAAGTCGGAACAAGTTAGTTTGTTATAGGGGTTTGCGAGGCAGAATTGAGACTTTCATTGCAATTTTGGTTTTCATAAAAATTGGGTGGTATTTTGTTTTGTTTTGACTATCTATCCATCCAAAAAATAAATGTAAACCACATGGGGCAATACGTGTAAAAAAATAGATATTTTAACCAATTTCATGACCGATGTGCTTAATTTTTTTATCAAGTACCCATTCGTTTTGAAATTCAATTGATGTGCAGTTAAGTTCTAGATCATGAATGCATATATTTCCAGTAATTTCTGCAATATCTCAACTTCTTTTCCACTCAATTCTAGCCCTTTTGTCGAGTATCTTGTACGGAGAATGTGAAACGAAAAATATTCCAGCCAGAAAGTGGGGGCATTGTCTTGTACGAAAGTATCTTGTACGAAGACTGGACTATATTACCATCCCCATTAATTAATGGAATTAAATTGAATATTTTGGACTGAATCGTTGGATTTTAGATCTTTATTGGAGGATGGGGCAACAGCAAGTCTGTCATCCGTAAGAACAGGGTGAAACCCGAAGTTGCTGAGATGGACACTCCCGGAATTTTGAGCGCCGATGAGTCCCGTGGATTTTGGATCAGGTAAGGCATAATATTCGTCGAATCATTTCAATATTGAAAGGGTAAAATGGTTCAAGTCGAACTGATTGCGTTGCGAAGTGGCAAAGGCAGGAAAAATTAACTTTCTTTATTGTATCTCATTACGACGGAGAATGAGTGACGGTCACATTTCAGAAATATCTGCAGCACTATTCAAAATTTTTACTGTGCTTGGCGGTACATTTCTTGGAAAATGTTATCACGCGACAGTTCCACTGAAAATTCAAAGAATTTCGTCATAGACAACTCACGCTTTGACGAAACCGACATTAGAAACTGTAAATTCCAATTCAATTATTCAATGAAAATTGACATAACAATTTAGGTAGATTGATGTTGGAATTCATGCCTGAATACAAAAATTAATTTCTTAGTTTAGTTAAACATTTTCTCTTTTCCACCCAAACACTCAGGGTGACATTTATGGCTTTTCTTAGAAAATAGAGACGTGAAGAAAAACAGTCCTCATGGTGAGTCACAAAGGAGAGGCTGAAGAAAATTGAAACAAGGGCCTTTTGTCAAATGGGTCCAGAGAGTGAAAACTCTCATGACTTTTAGTTAGTCGTCCTAGAGACTTCGTTGGAGAAAGATATACCTTCTGCGTGCGATCATTAAAGAGTTTTACTTTGAAGAATAAAACTAATGTGTTTTTATTGAGTATTCCTACACATAATCCAATAATTGAGAAAAATTTATTCTTGAATTTGCAATTAGTTGGAATGTCCATGAAGCTGAAACCAGCAGAATATTCGTCAGCGGCAAATTCAATTTAGGGGATATTTAAGTATAGGAGAGTCAAATAATCTTATGTACAAATGCTTTTTAAGTGCGAAAGAGGTTGTACATTACTTAAAAACATTTGTACACCTCTAGATACACCTAAGACAAATCTTTATTTTTTTTTATTTTTACGGCCTCCGGGTCCCTTTTCGGGTCCCATTCGCGGCACTCTATCCAACCCTATGCATGCGGCTGTGGATTCAACACTGTACCTCATTCGCACTCCTATCCTATTTTACTAAAGATGAAAGAAACGTGAAGTTGTTTTGTATCGAAATAGCTCGAAACTACCTGACCGCTAATCCTCAATTCTGATTGGTCAATGAGTCACGTAAAGTAGTCGCTGAAAAAAAACACCGGTATTTTCAAATTCTTCAAATGCCAAAAAAATTTTCTGCGTCATATTTTTCATTTTTTCATGTGTCTTTATATCAAAACATATCTAAATTGCCTAATTGTTGATCATGAGAAAAAAACACAGTATTTCTAAATTTTTTCAACTCACAAATTATTCTTCACTTCCCAAATTTTAATGTTTTCGTATTTATCACACGCCAAAATGATCAATTCTTGCTTCTCAGATTTTCATACATAAATTCTAAACTCTACAAAATTCACGAAAATTCTTCGGTTTTCCAAATAATTCGAGAAAAATCTGTGATCTACGGTTATCTGGAAAACTGTGAAATTTTCCGAAGAATTCAAGAAATTTTTTCAGTTTTCTAGGAAATCAATTCATAACCCTCCCCTGATTTTTTAACAATTACAGATTTTAATCAGATTATTTTAAAATGTAAAAAAAAAGAATTAATCGAAGATTAAAAATTATTCATTGATGCTTCACTCTTCATTCTCTTCATTCTCTTAATTTTCTTTAAGTCATTATCAATATTTATAAAACATCTATGAGTATATGAAATTTAATAAATTTGATTTCTTCACTTTCACAACAAAAAGATAAGCGCGCGCACAGATCTAGTAGAACATAGAAGTAGCATGGGGAAACCACAGAAAACCCATGCCCCGGTTACAGGCGGTTCCTCTATTAGCAACCTCCCACTCGACGGAGCCTTCCGTTGAAAAATTCGGTTCCACGGGGAATCGAACTCACAAACCTTTCGCACACTAGACTTGCGTCTAGTCCACTCGGCCACCGACGTCGGTGTAAGACAAATCTTCTGTCGAATCTTTCGCTACTTTCAGCTTCATGAAAATTCAGGGTAATTGTTTCAGGTATGTTATGGAAATTTCGTTTTCTTGCTTCTTAAACATTTAGAATTTCATAAAATTTTTATTCCAATTTGAAATTATATTTTTTTTCAGTGTTCCATTATTTTAAGGTATTTTACCATTGATAATTTACGAGTTAATGAGAAAATCAATGAGAACTGTGAATTTTAGTTCAATTACCTCATGAGAATTAAGGGGAATTAGGAAAATTCAATTGGATATGATGAATTCTCCTCCCAAACGATTTTTCTTCAACGGATGATATACAGGGTGACGTCAGCACCTTGTTTACAAATTTCAGGCAGATAGAGAATAGAAAATCGAGAATTCAAGGTACAAAAGTTACCAAATTCCGATAATGGACTTTCAAATGAACATTAGAATTTTTCAATACTTCAGCCAATTACATGGTAGGCGGAAAAAATAGACCAGGAAAAAATGACCCACACCCCCAAAACGTGTTAAAACCCACCCAACTTAAAAATTTCCCTTGGTCTATTTTTTTTTCCCTTGGTCTCTTTTTTACAGTATTCAACTACATTGCGATTGACTACCACCATGATTGGAAATGATGACGCAGTTGTCAGTGGGACTCAATATGATAGTTAATATCGCTCTTCATGTTGATAAAATTATCGATTCATGGTTGGAATGAACATTGCTCAAACTATCGCACATAAGGATGTTCTACACCCTTTCTGCCAAAATTCATATTTTTTTAATTTTTCTGGCAAACTTATGATGGAATTGACGTGAAAAAATATAACGTTTTTGCGTTTTGTCATTATTTAATGACTGACGAAATTTTAAGGTGGTGCGAACATTTTCCTGCGTTTTCTCTAAACTTTTAAAAAGAATCACAAAACTGTAGAAAAAACGCATGAAAATTATCGCACCACTACGCAACTTCGTGAGCCATTAAAGAATGACAAACCACAAAATCGTTATATTTTTTCACGTCACTCCCATCGATAATTTGCCAGAAAAATGAAAACAACGTCAATTTTGGCTAAAAGGGTGTCGAACATCCTTAATGTCGCTAAAATTATTGCAGTAAATATCGTCATAATTGTCGTACCATCACCATTTTCAATCATGGCGAGAGACTACCATGATGTTATGGGGTAAATCATTGAAAAATTCTAACGCTCACTATTCAAAAATTTACTATCGTAATTTCATAATTCTTATGCCATTGGATTACTGATTTTCCATTCTATATTTCCTCACAATTTGTAAACTAGGTGCTTACGTCACCCTGTATTTGACTCGAGATATTAATTCTGTAATACTGGAGAGTTCATTCCATCAGCCTTCATCAAGTTGTCTTCATACACTGAGAGAAAAACAAACACGTTGTCAAACAAGTCTTGTTTGGACCAACAAAATCGCTAGTTGACAATTGCCAAAAAGGAATTTGTTTGGTTCGAATTTGAAAGTCTCAAACATGAATAATTGTTCTGCTTTCGACGGCAACGAAATATTTGGCTCAAGAGGCGGATAATTCACACCAGACGGTGCCTTTTCAGGATGAAAATATCTATATTATTCCTTGGGCTATTCTACTCGGTCAACCTTAGATGTTTTTAAGGCATAAATTACTTGGAAAGCGGGATGCTATATGCTATCCATCGACTTTCCGGACCTCTATATGAGGGAAAAAATTGAATAATTATCAATGCACAAATTAAAAAATTCGGAGGCACACGCGCTCGAACACAAGTGGGGTATGATCCCACATCTTCTGTTTGTCGGACAGGTGCTCTGCCAATTGAGCTATTGAAAATATCTCATATAGAGGAAAATTTATCAACAAATATTTTACATATCATTATTATTGTTTCATTTAATGGTGCATTTCTTGTCTCTGATTATTAGACAGCCGAAGCGGAAAACTACTATCCCTTATTGCGAATAAAACAAAGATTTTTATAAAACAAAGATCGAATAACGCAGGAGTGGTGCTAGAAGTGGCATTTCTTGCGTGTACAGAGAATGCAATTTTTTTTAAACTACTAAATCTATTTTTGCGACAAAAATTTTTCATTCCGGCGCACTCTCTGCATGTTCGGCACAAAAAAATCCTTTTCTGATAATTTTCAAAAAACTATTTTCTTGGTACAAGTAAGACTTGTTTGAGAACTTTGTCGTTTTTCTCTCAGTGTAGAGCATCGATGTATTGAGGAATAAATTCAAAGAACAATATTTATTTGCTTCAGATGGCACGGTGGAAACATAACCTTTGGCAAGGAGGGTGAGCAGACACCAATCTTGAATTACTTCGACCCAGAGCCATTCGTTATCAGTTACTTCGGTGTCTGCACCGGTTGGGGAGCCTCTGGAGAGTGGCTCGTCGAAGGTTAGTACAGTTACCCCTTTTTTCAAACTACAAACTATCGCACCAGCTAGAATAAATTATTCATTTATTGCTGCACTCATTTGGGTTTCAAGTAGAACCAGACAATCAAATATTCTATATAATCTCAATTGCACCTGCAACGGGGCAAATATTAATAAATTCTTTTCTTCTTTTTTCCTCAATAAAATTTTATGGATTCTGCACACAGCGAGATGCATCGGGGGTCAAGGTGGTTGTACGTAAAGTATTTTGATAGAGAATTTTATAAAACTTTCGCACTCCCTCATGTTTAACAACCCAATGTGCTCTAATTACACCTGTACATGCATTCATTAATGAACGAATCATTCTGAAAAGGAACTAAAAATTTGAGAACACCGAATGAACTGAAATACACATTCCATGCCGTGAAGAGTGGCTGTGTGATCATTGATGTTAAAGCAAAGAGCAATGCACATGTTGCACTCACACAGGGAAAATCCGAAACATCACCGATGTATGAGATTCTACTGGGTGGATGGGATAATACAGCTAGTGTCATAAGATATGACCGTAAACAACCCGATAAGGTTTGCCACCAAAATATCAAAACGTAGAAATCAAATTCAAATTTGTTTCTCAACTGTGTTTTTGTTTTAAATTTTATTGTTAAATGTTTTACTCCCAAATTTTTCGAGTTAATTTTTTAGTCTATTAGTTTTTTTTACCGATTTCTATTGGGAAATGATTAGTAATTCAATCGAAGAATATTCAATACGTAAAATCAATAGGTTGTAGATTCATTTTGTTGAGGTTTTTTGTGTAAAATTCTTTCAACCTAAATTTTTCAAGTTAAATTTCTCATTTATGTTGACAATTCAGAACAACAGCTCTTTGCATTTTCGTAATTTTAAATTGCAAAAGTTTTAATAGGAATGTTTAAAAAACTAATAGAATTTCCAATGAAATAGCAATAGAATTTCTCATGAATTTCTTTCATACGTGAAATAGAAAAGATAATTGAGTCATAAAATTGGTTGAAAAACGGAGTATTTTGCGCTCAGGTGCGCGTTAATACCCCGAATCTCCTGAGCTCAAGTGAGCATCGGAAGTTCGCAATTATGTGGCACGATGGACTCATCACAGTGAGGTCTGGTGATCAGCATGGTAAAATATTACTCGAGTGGAAGGACCCAAAGCCAATTGGAATTAGTCACGTTGGTGTGCGAACGGCTTGGGGGGCCACCGGAAATTGGAGAATGCACTTTGACCACCTCCAGCACACCCACTCGGGGCCACCCCCCAAATTCCGACGTAAATCTGAATATTTTTGGTATTCTATATCTGCAATCAGTGGAGGGACTTGAATTGATTGTTGGTGTTTTGATCGCTTTGGTGGCAAAGCTAACTGGGGAAATGCAGGGTAGATTGATTTAATCGAGGTGTAGGTACTTAAGGATATCCAAGTACTTCATTCAAGTTGGCAACTTTTCTGGAGAAAGATTTCAGTTTTGCTGAAAACTTTGGCATCCATACTTTTTCGGATGTTTGACTGTTCAACAAATTTTTTCGATAATTTCTCCAATGACCAATGACCAATGATTCTCCAAAAATTTCTCTAATGACCATACACTCAGAAAAATTAGTGTGCTAGCACAATACACTAGTCACAACTTGCACTCTTGGACAAATATTATTGTGTAGCATCCAAAAAAATCTTGTGTACCACCAAAAAAATTTCATGCTAGACTGAGAGAAATAACTACTTTTGACAAAGAAGGTTTACTTAATGCAAGAAAATATTCTCTTGTCAATTTTAACCCGTTAGCAGTCGTGCTATATGACTTTCTCCTGAAAAAATTTTCAGGGTATAGGATACATACACGGAGAGTAATATTCAATAAAAATTACGCATCTTTTCCGTAATTCCGGAGCGAAATGTGGTTGTAGGAAATTTTGCGGAATTATCACGGAATTTTTCCAGAGCGTTACGTAATTTTTATCTGAATCTCCTGTGAAAAATTACGATACCGCCACTCAAATTTTCTCAGTCGATTCGGTAATCGGTGAGCTAATTGAGTTCCGTAATTTTTACTGAACATTTCTCTCCGTGTCGGCAAAAAATTGAGATTTTGGACTGAAACTTTTTGATTGCCTCAAGAAACTATCCCTCTTTCCTCTGGGGTCAATAAAAACCGTCTAGCATGTTTCAATAAATTATAAAAAAATATTTTATCGAGCTCGGATGTGGAGCGCGTGAGATTCTCTCGCGGCGTGAGTAAAGTCAATCGTGTGGCTCGCGCGCATCGAGCGCTTCCGTGAGGCATTCGGTGATACTCGGCATTTTTCAGATGCCGCAGGGGAATTTTTACATTGCTACACAATAATTTTTCCAGAAAATTTTACCCCGTGTATGGCAACACTGCGTATTTGTTCCATACACCCTCGGTAATTCGTGTTATTCCCCAACAAAATTCTCTAACAGTCCCCCCCCCCCCCCCCCCC